AAATTTGTCGAATTCGACAAATCTGGATTCCAATTTTGTCGAATCGACAAATTCGATCGACAAATTTGCGATCGACATTTTTGTATTCGACAAAATTGATGTTTCCCGTGGAGAGCAAGTACCTCCGGAGCATATATCATGGAATCTATTGAGAAATAGATTTTTCATATTTCAGTTGATAACTAAGTCGATTGAATCGGTTGGTTTATCGAAAATGAGTGTCTCGACAAGATTTGATGTATTTAATATTTTTTCTAAAAAACTTGTAGTAGTGGTGTAATGTCTACGTTGCATTTGAGGTTGAATAATTAGATCCATATAAGAGTGTAGGTTTCAGTATGAACAGAGAAGAAAGCAACGTTTACACTAACATCAATTCCGATAACTAACTCAGAGGGTAACCAATTGATTTGGTGAGAAACTAATTAATTGTGAGAAAATTTTATGTATATGACCCGAGCATGATTGATCTAGACTCATTCTTTGATTATCAATTTATTCGGTGATGTTGGAATCGGCGCAAAATACCGTCGAGAAAAAAAAATATTCCGCGAGAAGAAATATTATCTTTGGGTCAGTAGTTGAGTTTATTTATTTATCTGATGTTGGTTTTATATACCATTCACAGAGATTATTTTTTTTTTGAATTTTTGCGCACTTTAAAATTCCTTTATCCTTGCTTTCTAACATAAACTATGTAAACATGAAAATATTTTACTTCAGTTTTTTCTTCTTCGAAAGTTGAGCAGAATAAATAGATGCTGTATTAATTGGTTCACATACAATAAATTATTTCTGAATTGAAAGTTTTATGCATAAACACACTCCGCATAAATTTTTTGATGCCGTAGGTATTGTGTAAATGCGTATGGATACTCATCTGTCTGCATGTTATAAATAAATCCAAATTTTTCTTGGGACTGTTTTCATTCTTCATCGTTGTTGGACTGTTTGGATTTTTTTTTTCATAAAAGTTATATTTTTCGCAGATTAATAAGGGTAGAGATCTAGACATGAATAATAGTCATGCAACATTCTTTACAAACAAAAATTTTTTATTTCTTGTTGTTGATCATGGCAAACTTATACCCAGAAGAACATTCCGTGTATGATTACTATTTATTTATCTTACAACATATGAAACTATCAGCATTGTACATAATATAGTGTGCAACGATGAAAATATTTGATTAGGTAATAATAAGTGCCTTTTTATTAATTAGTTTTTAGATAATATTGTTGAAACGATTGTTTTCGTCAATATTTACATATATTATTTCAAGTAAACAATGTCGAATCATTCGTGTTGGCCAAGTTCTCAAAGCTGGAAACGTTATTGGCCGACGGGTATCGTTGCTGTAATTGGTGTCGTTCAAACATTTTTTTCGTTCGCTGCTGTCGCACTTCATGTTGCCATTGTTTTAATTGGTATAGTTAGCCTTTGCAGTAATTATGCAGCATGGTATGTTATGGGCTTTGTTTGCTGGGCCTTTTTTTTGACAAGCTGGATATCGGTCTTCTGCGTCAGTAAGTATTTTATATATTAATTCTTATTCTAATAATTAGACTGACACATTCATAGAAGTAATTCTGTACATTCAACAATGTGACTAAAGAGGATGATAAACCAAAACAAATTCAATTCATAATAGTTTAATATAAGAGTTTACATATTCTGAGAATCTCTAAAGTAGGAATTATAGATAAAAACGTTAGAATTTAGACGTAAGTTGAAATTTTCTTAAATGAATTCAGGCGCAAAGCTGAAAACGTAGTCTAAACAAAGCGAAAGCATGTTTAAGTTTGATAGTGTAAAGCATTCTCTTACAAATGTTTATTTCTTAATTGAGATGTGCAAATTAAAAGACATAAAGAGCTGTATTTGATAAGTAAATCAATGTTATTATTGATTGAATGTTATCTCTAGATTTTGATTTTAATACCAATCGTCATAATAAGAGAGCTTTCCTTAGATGAAGGAAAAAATTATCAGAATCGAAAAACATATTCAATCAAATATTTCGGCAATCATTGACAAATATTGTTGTATTTGTCGTAAATATTTAATTCAGAGCGTTTTTCTTTCCGAAAATTATCAAATTCGCGGTTAATTCTAATGTGAAATAGAATTGTCAACCTTTGAATTCGTCTCCTTGACTGATCTATAACATGATTTAGACGTTTTAATCTTTCTTAATTTGTTTTCTTTATTTATTTAAAATTTATTCTATTTTAGCTTGTTGTAATCGATCATCTGTTCGTTGCGCAACACATACGATGATAGAAAATATCCTTGCATTTATCTTTTCAGCTGTACTCATTGATTTTGATCGTAAACTTAAGGATGGTCAATTAATCCCCGGTTCTACATCGTGCTCCAGCTCCTCATGGTACAATGTTCAAGATACGAGTGACAGTGACACCAAGTTAACAGATGTCTTCCTCTCATTAACGAAAGCACAGTTAGCTTGTGGAGTTTTCATACTGATATCAGCTCTTGTTTTCATTGGTATCTATATATATGTATATGTCAATCAGAGCAGTGAATGACGATAGAAACATGGCCCATAATTCGTCTTATATTGATCATACCCAAATGGGACAGTCACGACAATCAGGATATGTATTGAGAGATCCACAACAGGTACATGAGCCACTGCCACCAAAAATAAACCACCCACACTCAATCAATTTCCAAATGAAACCAGTGCATTCTGATAATGCCTTAAGAACTGTCGTTTGCCATCAATGTGGAGCAATAGTGGAAGTACGCGAACAATATTAAGAGAACTGATCGAAATTATTTCCAGTGATGGTTCTATTTACTTTATTTTTGATGACTTCTCATATATTCAAGAAAATTTGTTTATCTTTTACTAGCTTATTGTCGAATTTACAGCGCCTATAGAGAGAGAGAGAGAGAGAGAGAGATTTGAAATAAATGATTTTAAAAATAATTAATTCAATAAAGGATGTAGCATAAGTTCTGATTTCCTTCTGTAATATTTTTTCTTACATGTTCCTAAAGTCAACGAGACTGATATTTACAGTATATATACTAGATCTACTATATGCTGGTATTTCAGCTTTCTACTTCTTATTGTTATCGAGATACAAGCATTACCAAAATCAAAAACAAATCGAAATATTTTTAGATATAAATTTACCTGAGTATATTTTTAACACTTGATTATAATGTTACATAAAAAATAGTGCTCGACAATAGATTTACAAATCGAAGTATCTTTCAAATATTCAACAAAAAATATTGAACAATGATTATGTAGTCGTTCCCCATGTTGATCTATCACTGGCTTCAGCCGATCAGATATTGTTTCCATCATTTTCCGACAGTAAATGTTCTTTATTGTTGTACTACTTGATTTTCCAATTCGAATTCATTATCGAATTGTCGTTCTCTTTCTGTTTTTCTTTAATTGCACCCCCATACATTTTTATTTGGCCAAATAATTACCTACCAACTTCCTCAGTCAATATAAGCATCGTGTTTGTCTCTCCATATAATTCATTTATACATACTGTTGTTTTTGAACGTTACGATCAACAGAAAAAATAGATCATATATATTTTTTTCCTATTCATAACGGCGATGAAAAACAACAGAGTGCAAGAGTTATATGTAGTAGAGCAAAAATTACTCGAAACGAATACACTTTTCTCATCCATAATTGTTTCAATTATAATTCAAAAATTCTTATTATTTTGGAAGTGTTTGTATCTCGATAATAATACGAAGTAGAAAGCTAAAATTCTAACATAGAGTAGATCTAGTATATATACTGTAAATATCCGTCTCTTCGACTTTAGAAATATGTAAGAAAAAAATATTGCAGAAGGGAATCAGAGCTTATGCTACACCCTTTGTATGTCTTTTCAAAAATGGAAATCAATGCCATTCGTATTTTTGTCTATAGTCAGTATTTATACACTTTGTCTTTTAATAAAAAGTCGATTGAACGTAAAATTAACATAAACTTCGCTTTAACGATTTTAGAATTTTGTTAAATATTTAAATGATCATATATAATCCTATCATTTCATAGATGAATACTCAGATGATTTATATTTTAAAGAACATGTTGATATACATGTAACCATTTCATTTGGATTTATTTGACCAAAAAAGTAATACTTGAACGAGATGGATATAAACCTTTTATTGTTATATTTGAAGATGCAATAACATGATAAGGTCTTGATGTCTAACAATCATTAATAATAACAAAACTATTTTCAAAAAAAAGGAACATTAATCCATTTTTCATCTAAACGATCTTGTACTTGTAAATCTTGAACTTATCAAACCAACGTTCACCTAATTTTAATGCTAATATGAATAATTTCTATAAATGCTTAGATAAATTGTGACATTGTTGATAATAATTTAACCAAATCAAAGGCATTTTCAAATGTTTTGTTAGTTAACGTATTTTTTCTTCATGTTCAAGTCCAATAGAAAAACTTTCTTTTAAATCTGGTAATAAAATTGATGAAGATAATTGATCATATCCATGTGATAAATTTTCATCATTTAAACCGTTATAATGATATGAATAATCTTTTGAACCAACAATTTCTTGTTGTATTAAGAGTAGTAAAAGAAAAAATTCGTTTGATACTTTCATTATATCATTTTGAGTTTTTTCATCGACTTGTTCAACTAATTCTTTACGATATGTTACATTTTCATATGATTTAATTAACGCTATAATCAGTATTGACGAAAGTCTTCTTGAATATCATAAAATAGAACAAAGATATTTTAAATAAAAACTTGATAGAAGATTTTATCATCATGGATATAAAATCTTGTCGAAAGGACGACCGACGTTTTAGGGAGATTTCGGTCCAATAACAAAGTGAAGATAGATTCACATGACATTTTCAGCGAATTTTCGCCGCAGCGATAGTAGTCATCCCTAAAAATTTCATCCTAATCAGTTCAATTTTTCCCTTACTTCACTACTACGCAATGTAGGCATTTTTGGGCTCAGGGAAAGGGTACCAATCACACATTTGCCGAAGAATATTAAAAACGTTCTGCCCCCCCCCCCTCTCCCCCCCCCCCTTCCCCCTCTATCTATCACTCGATGGAAAATTCAATTCTGAATAAAACCAGGGTGTGGGTGTGCGCGCGTTCCATCGTTTCTATCCACACCCACACCTCGAGTAACAGCTGGGATTTTATTATTAAAAAAAAGAAACTATTTTTATTTGTTCGATTGTTAATCTTGTATTTAACTGTAGACAAAATATAAATGATAAAACAATAGAGAGCAAATTATCATCATTTATTTTTATTCTTCCTTTGTCATGTCACGGTTAGGCATAATGTTTCATATACAGAAGAAAAAATGAATTTGAACAATGTTCATATTTTTCATGAAAAGCAACATAATAATTTAAGTTGTTCGTGAGCAAGGTTAACAGTGTTAAAATAACTAAGTTATTTTTTATGAGAAATAATGGCATCGTACAAATTCATATTTGCTTCACTATATAAAACATTAATATTATTTCAATCATTATATTGTTCTTCTTGACAAACATCAACATATTCATAATGTAAAAATTTACGGATATATATACAAATTCTTGATCGCTCAATTTCAATGTGTAATAATGAACAAGAAATTATTGCAATTGATTTGAATCAAATCTTAAAAATGAAACATATAAGTCTTGTAATAAAATGAACTGAACATGTTTACATGAATAACAAACATCGGTGTCTCATATGAAAAATGAATTCATACAAATTATTAAACACAATTGTAAATCAAGTTTTCACTATAGAACTATTCAAAAAAAATGCTACGAAATCGTCTTGAAAATAGCCTTTTTCAAATGAAATGAAATCTAATATTCAATTTGTATTAAATAGAGGAATATGTGTATATGATTCATTACAATTCTGCTGTCATGAGCGGAATTCATTATAGAATAAGTCATGTATTACTATGGTATCATAAGAATTATTATAATAGGAAGACAATCTATACGTGTATTATGATTAATTTATATACAATACAGAATCCTTAAATTCTGTTTGTCAGAAATTTGCCACTCTCGATTGTGAGTGCGATGTCGAGGAGACTCCCACTGCCGAAAATTTCCAATAGACGAATTTTCAATCGTCATCAAAATCTCATCTCTAAATTTTGAATTCACGTTTTCTCATAGTACAATATGGGTCTCGAATCATGCTGAATGTATTGAGTATGGTCACGCAAAATTAGTCAACCATCAAAAGTTAAGTTCTGTGTAAAGATTTTCCATCTCGAAATTTTGACATTAAAGGAGTTGGAATTTTAAAAATATAAAAATACAGATGCTTTAGAACATATTTTTATCAAGAAAAATCGTTCATCATTGTGTTCCCGAGTTCTCATTATTAAAATCTCCTGACTCTGTTTAAGATTAATGTTAAAAAGACAGATCTATATTTTACAACAAAGCGAAATTAAAATTGTTTGTTTCACTGTTAGTCATATATTTATTCGTCTACCATCAAATGTATTTATGCAGTATTCTCATTGAATAAATTTATCTTTTCGATGGTGACAGCATTTGAATGGCAAAAATGCTTTTGTTTTTGAAATATTTTCATCGATTATTTGGTTACGTAGGCTATTAATTAAATAAGTCTAGTTCGGAGCCGCCAATAGGCGACTTTTTTCGAACAAACCAACTTATGTTTTTGATCGTATGAATCTATGAATTTCTACAATTTTTCAACTAGAAGTTCTTTCAAAATAATCAGTTTCGTTGCTAAACTTAGCTAATAAGTCGACCATAGATCTAAATGACACAGTAGTTAATGATATCTCGTTATCAGTAATATCATATAGATTTTTCATGTTTTAATAAACGACATATACGTTAGGTAGAATAATATGATAATGTTTTTTTTTAACGAAGAAGCAGATGATAAAACATAACGACCATCAGTAGATAGTGCTACATTCTAAATTGTTAGTTACAAAGAAAATGTGAGCAAAGAGAAAGAAGGTAGCTATCTTCTAATTAGACAAGAGGTTTTTTTTTGTTTATTCATCTTCAAATAAATTATTCATAGTTATTATTCTTTTTTTTTGTACTCATTATCTCTTTTAGCTCGTCCACTTGCAGCTCTAAAAATAAAACATTGTCTTATATTCAAATCTTCTCTTCGTCTTAATCGATCGTTTTTTTTATCAAATAATTTTGCTGATGATCTTTTAAAAGCAAAATGATTCTTTTTCTTCAATATTTGATGTGATTCAGATACAATATCATTTTGATCATTTGATGTTCCACGTTTTTTTTGTATAATCAATTCGTGGTATTAATTTAAATGTAACCATATTTTGTATCATATCACAATATTCAACTTTAGCTAAATCATCTGGATAAATTCCATGTTCAACACGAACCCATGAACCGTTCTTTATTTGAGATGTTGTTTTAACAATATGAAGAATATCATTCATTTGTACTTATTGGTACCATTGGAAAATTTTGAACATTTAATTATCGAACATCTTCACATGTTGCTTTAACATAATTTGATTTTATCTGTAATGCTTTTATATGAAATTTTTCTAAAGCAAGATATTTTCTCATAAGTAATAAAGTTATTTGTTTTTCTTCTCCAATTCGACATTTAACTGGTCAAAGAATAGATGATTTAACATCAGGTAATAAACTTTGTTGAGTTATTTCATATGAACTTTGTTCTTCATCATCAGCTAGTATTTCAATATTTCGACCATAACGTTCGTGTACATATTGCTCCATTGAATCCATTTCACTTTACAAAAAAAAACATATAAATATCATTTATTTAAAAGAAAAACTAAACAAACTTGTCAGTTATGGACAATTTTGATCGTTCAGCTTGATAAATATCAACTGCTGTTGTATCATGAATATTTGTTTGTGCGACAAAACCTTCTTCAGGCACATCTTCTTCTTCTTCTTCTTCCTCTTCATCGTCAATATCTATGCGCATATGAAAAATAGATTTTTCTTTTTTTTAGATTAAATCTTTTATCAGCTTCATCCATAATAATTTTTTTCCAGAAATTTTCTATTTTGTTCGTTGTTGTTTATGACCATCTTTTTTTCATTTATTTGCAATTATTTCATCCACCTAAATAATTATTTGAACACTTTTCTATTTACAAAAGAAAAATTTTATTAAAACATAGCTGTTGTCCAAAAACCAAAGCATTAAATGAAGTTCTTCTCAGACAAACTATAAACTAAAATGTTGTTTTTATATCTAAAGTAACAAAAAAGTCTGAACAAAATCCAGTAACCTTGAATCTGACAGGATTTGAATGAATTGTGTTCTATTTTCGATTCATTACCATTTATTTACTGTTTAATAAATAAGTAGATTTTTGACACCAATAGGAAAAATATACCATCTACCTTTACACCTTACAGTCAGCGACAAAAATTTAAGTGAAATTGAATTTTTCAATTTTTCTTACATTTAATTTTTTAACTTTTCTTTCACATTATTTTAGGATACGGACTTGTTTGAAATGGTAAGGTAGATAATATGAGACACTGACTAAACAATGTACTATAGTAGAAGAGAATTCTGTTTGTGAATATCAATTTTCCATAACATCATCAAAAGAAAAAAATTGAAACATTCTATCAATGAATTATCAATTTGTACTGATATATACTAATTCAAATCGAATTCTTTTTAAATTATCAACAAAACGAAAAATATGGCATAGTGCAACGCAATTGTAAGAAAATGCAACTGTTTTACGGCAAAAGCATTTCATCGAATAAATTTTCGTAAATGTAAATTGATCACTCCTAGTTGATTTATTCAAGCGATTTCTCGAACGTGGCAATGACGACGCTTCACCTGTAATATACTGCGTGTATATCACATTTTATCATCATTGTGTTTCTATATATGTAAATATACGCACTTTTTTCTCTTTCTCTCTTAAGTGTGTGACCGAGTACTTTTTGCGTGCATTCAAAAATTGAAGGATAATTTAATACAAATGATTATATCATTGCTACTTAGATTTACTGATTCAACTTGTCCCATTACATAGCTATTAAACAACTTCATAAAATTAGAATACGACGTTGCCTTGAATGTACGTTATATGAATAAACATACTCATTCCGAGTAGAGCTAGAGGCACTGTCAACTAGTGACTCATCGATATACTATCGATCATGCTCCGTATAAATGATGTATCAAAAAACAAAACGTGGCCAGTCACATTGTATACTAAAGAAAAAAAAAAGACATCTTTATTTATATATATATATGCTCATAACGATAGTTTTTTCGTAGAAAAATGCTTCCTAAGCTCAAATGTTGGTGGCGTGTGTTGATCATTGTGCTCACTCCATTCATACTTCTTCCACTTCCTCTAATCTTCAGAACTATTGTAAGAACTATACACGTATAATTTAATAGACAAAATTGTATATATGTATTGTTGTTTTTTTCTATAGCAAGCAAAATGTGCTTACATCGTGCTGCTTCTCACAGTCTATTGGGTGACCGAAGCAATGCCCTATGCAGTTACTTCATTATTTCCACTCGCATTCTTTCCTATGGCAGGCATCCTACCAGGTGAAATAATCTGCCAGAACTATTTTAAAGTGAATGAATGATTTTCTTGCCGTTTATTTTAACAGAAAATATTGATAATGTATCTTTAGGATATTACAACGTTATTGGTTGGTAGTATGATACTAGCTTATGCAATGGAACATGTTCATCTTCATCGACGATTAGCTTTTCGCGTACTCAGTATTGTTGGTTCATCGACTAAATGGTCAGTAACCTATTGTTTTCTACATATATATAGCAAAAGCTCTATCCTTTCAAACAGGAGTATGGCAGGATTGATGGGTGTCACAGCTTTCTTAAGTATGTGGATCAATAATTCGGCCGCTACAAGTATCATGATACCAGCAGCCATTGCTATTATTGATGAACTTGAAAATTATCAAAAACAAATTCAGCAACAACAGCAAACACCAGGTAAGAAAAGACCTTGATTTTAAATTATGATTAAAATAATTGTTCTATTTAATTTTTAGTAGTCCTTGATTTCAAGTCAACAGTCATTGAAGAAAAAGCAGAGCAGTCATCTTCACAGGATAATGTTGATATAAATCCCAATGAGTTAATGATTGAGTAAGTTTTCGAGTTCTAATCTAAGTTCCTTCAAAAACAAAAAAAAATTATCAACAAATAAGTTCAATAAAAGTGCAATGATAAATTTTTGTTGCATTTTCTCTGCATGACCCATTTGAACTTTTGCATGTTCGAGATATGAATTTCTCAATCTCTTTTATATCGCTTCTCAATAGTAAAAATTTTACGGAGTGAATAGATGAATGAGGATGACTATGTAGCATCAACATGTGGGCTATATACTTTCATCCACTCCTCTGGTAGCAATCAAATTGATCTAGAGTGGATGGATCTTATCGATTACAGTTAATATATTATTATGTACTCATAGACTTACACCATTAAACAACCAAACAACAGTTGATTTCAATACGACAGATAATCATTTATCTATAACTCAACTCGACTATCGACAACTCAAGAGCGGTACGAAATCAACTAAATAAATCTGTTGAATTAAATCCATAGATTATCTATATTGTCATCTATTTGAAGGCTTTCTTATTTCTGTGGCTTATAGTTCTGCTATGGGCGGTCTGATGACACTAGTCGGAACTGGTACAAATATATTTACCAAAGGATTTGTTGATCAGTGAGTACTGTATTGGGTTAGAAATTTTCTATTTTTATACTTATTTCTACTAATTAATCTAGATACTACGCATCTAGAAGTTACGCTTTGAAAGTTTCATTTGCTAACTTTTTCTTGTTCGGTGCACCCATTGGTGTGATTATGCTTCTAATCTGTTGGTTATGGCTACAAATCTTATACAATCGCAAAGAGTAAGTTTACAATTATACCACAGCTGAATCATACTCGTTTTTATTATTCTTATCTACATGCGTATACTTATAGACTCCTTCAGTGGAAGACCACTTTGACTAGACAAAATTCTGAGAAACATTTGAAAATGATCCTCAAAAAGCAATACGATGAGTTAGGCCCATACAGCTGGCGTGAACGCATTGTTACTATTCTTTTCATTGTCCTCGTCGTTCTATGGGTGACACGTGACTTTTCAAATAGTCGTGGATGGGAAATTATATTTCGGGAAAAGTAAGTTCGAATTTTCGTTGAAAAAACGATTGTTGTTTTCGTTTAAGTTATGTTACAGATGGAACAACGGCTCTACTCATCGGTTCATTACCATTGATTTTACCGGACCAAAATCCATTTCAGAGTATTTAAAAACTCATTCTAAGGTAGAAAAATATTTTTCTTGATTAGAAAATTGGAAATATAACCCGATTCTTCAATGGGATCAACTGTCGAAATCATTTCCATGGGGTGTATTTATGTTGCAAGGTGCAGGATTAGCTATTGCCGATGGATTTCAGGTTTATTTTCATATGAAGCATATTTTTGTTACATATATTTGATTTTCTAGGCATCGAATCTATCGACAACTATTGTCGGTCTTCTTCAATTTATTGTTAGAGCACCTAAAGAACTCACCATTCTTGTTGTCATCATTATCAGTGCTATTTTCACCGAATTTACAAGCAATATTGCATGTGCTAGCATATTATTTCCTATTCTTGATAGTATTGTAAGAAATTTTACTTGCTGTTTGTCCTTTATTCGGTCTTATTTTTTTTCCTTTTTAAGTCTCGTACAGTTCAAATTCATCCAGCTTATCTTATTTTGCCATCGTGTATGGCTGTTTCGCTCTCATTCATGTTACCAATTGGTAAGTTTTTCATATTCATTTTTGTTCGAGTCAACAACAAATCATTGTCTCTAGCTACTCCACCGAATACCATGATATTTTCCAGTGGCCATGTAAGAATTATGGATTTGATCAAAGCAGGCATTGGTCTTAAAATTATTGGTATAATTGTGATACATTTTATATCGATCACTTTTCTTGGATCTATTTTCCATATTAATTCTCAGCTGACATTCGTCCATCATACCAGTATAATAACAAATGCTACGATGGGATAATGAAGATGAAAGAGATATAAATCTTTTATTTTAATCCGCTTTATCAAAGGTTGGATAGTAATATGTAAAATTTCTCTGACTACTGGCAACATTGTCGAAAATTAAAAAAAGACACTGATAATTATTGAAATAAATTGTATTATAATTTATACAAGCAAGATTTCACAGGAGAAAATGTGGATTGATCATAGGCCATTCACACTCAGTATTGAGAAAGCATATGTGTAGTATTTTTCTTTCCGTTGAAAATCAGTTTTGAAATCAGAAATTCCATTCAGAATATTAAATACATGACACTCTCTATTGGTCTCAATATGTCAATTTTCTTCTCACAATGCTAGCATTCCATCTACATGTGCATTGATAGGGTACTGATGAAATTAATACATCAAACGAGTTTCTCTACACAACAGTTAATGATAAAACACTATTGTCCATCATTGTTGACTTATTTCCTGCTTACCATTAACTCATCGTTACTGGCTCAGCATTTTATCGGTATACTCAACCACCTGACACGAGAAAGCTTTGAAATCATAAAAGTGAAAACAGCTGTCTTTACAATCGTTACTGTTCTATGATAAGATCATTAAAAATGTTGCGAATGCAAACTCTGAGATATTTAACCGACGCATTGTATAAACCTCGTTTTTTCTCAGATAGATGTCTAAAAAGAAACTTATTGACTAATGTTACGGTTTAAGAGTAAAACTGTTTTTGCACTATTCACAAGTTAGAAAGAAGAGGAAATTTTATCATGAAAATTTGAAGTGTTAAGCTCTTTTGAATAATTCAGATCGTTCTACAGGAAAATCGATAAATTTCTTTATCGATGGTAGATCTAAGTAGTCTCTATCGTATGATAAAAACTTCTTAGAATTTGCATTGATTATTGATGAGATTTAGGTATCATACTGCAACAAAAAAAATTTCGTGACATTTGGTCATGTTGTTAGATAATTTTTAATAAATTGCATCTGCTCTATTCTGCACATATAATAGATCAGTGTGTGAGTGAGAATGAAAAAAAGCCACTAACACCATACCCACACCCTTTTTCAGATTAATCGATGTTGAATCTAGTGATGTGTGAATATCTCAGTCTGATGTTAACGTGTTCATCGATCTTATTTTCAAAATATAATAATATTTATCATAACCGTCAATCAATGTTTTATAAAACAAATCATTTTGAAAGAATTGTGCTTATATTATTGATAATTCACTTGAATGTTTCGTTACGAGAAATTCGTTATAGAACTGATATAATTTTCTATTTAAAAATTTTCTGAATTAATTCCTCTTTTTCAAATAATGATCGAAGTTTTCGGCAGAGATTTTATTTTAAAGAAAAATGTCCCGTTTCAATTTTGAACCTCTTTGATTAAATAGAGTTTAGATTCATATATATGCTTGCGCTGTGTTTGAAATTTCGACTAAGTTAGCAGTTTTTTATGTTCATGAACAATAAATCTGATGTGAAGTGTGTATTTTGCATCAAATTCGCACAAAAAAGGCTTAACTCGGGTGCCATCTAGTTTCATTTTACTATTTAGTGCGAGAATTTATTATTATTTTCTTTTTATGGAAATAAATTAAGTGAACAACTGAACTTAGAAAGGTCAATCGACCTGCAGATAACTTTATCATAGCTATATACTAAACCGCTCTTCGTCTAGTCATACTTTGTAGGTGGTATTTTAAAAGAAAATGGCAATAGCAGCTAAAAATTCTCATAGGTCATATTTGAAAGGGTTTGGTTGTGTGGGAAAACAACGATTTACTTCCTCACACAATACTAATCAAGTATGATTTGGTATAAATGTCTTATATTTATTCAGAAGGACTTTTTAACATAGTAGTTGTTTCTGAATTGAACTAAGACATCATTATCATCGTCAGCAATATGACTCGATTCTTTTTTTTTCTTTCGCTGTCAACTGTACATAGGTTTGTATAGATGTGAATGAGAACAAGACGAACGAGGAAAAAATAGATATCACATAAAGAGAGAGATCAGAGAGAAAAGAACACTATTACTGTTTCTATTGAAAGACCTATTTTAAAAAATCTCTTCTAAGAACTTGAGAGCATGCAATGCTCAGAATTTTATGTTCGTTCAAATAATGCAATTTTTATTGAATCCGCATGATAATAAAACTGTCGAAACACGTGATATGTGGTCTTTAGGGCGCTTATAGCTGCAACATTGATTTCTGTTTAATTCGTTTGTCTTTCTTCAATTTTATCATTGACCGTTATGCTTCCCTTCACATACGTTTTCTCTTTCGCTAGATTCATTTGTTAATCTTGTGGCAATCTTTCATTATTGTATTGTGTGAACGTTTCCTCTCTGTTATTGTCTGTTTATGAGAAGTCGTTTTCTCTCTACCATATTAGATACTATCAACGAAGGAAGAGAAATAATAGATATAGGAAGATGACAAAATACACTGTCATGCCGACAGACATAGACCATACTTTCTCAGTTCATTAAAAAATTTCTTTCTTTTCTATGTTGATCGTATATCTTTTCTCTTTTTTGCTTGACCTTCACGTTTAACCATTGTTTGTTTCTTCGATAAACAGATATGCTCTATGAATATACGAATGATAGATATTATAGCGTGAAAACGTGAAACAGATGGATCAATGTCATCTAAACATTGCTTTTTCTAAGTTTATCACATATTGGATGACTTTTAGATCGTCGAATAAATTATGTTATATAAAATTGAATCTTTTATTCTAGATTTTAACATAGCAATAACAATGAATAAGACAACGCTCGAATCATTATCCAATGAAGTGTTTCTTAATTTATTTGAATTATTCAATGAAATTGATCTTTTTCGTACTTTTCATAGTCTCAATACTCGCTTTAATACTCTATTATTTGTCTATTTTCGAAATTATCGTGTCGATTTTCGTTCGATATTAAAAGAAGATTATAATATTTTTTGTCCGACATACTTTTCATCGATAGTAAATCGTACAATTTATTTACGACTCTCCGATGATGAGGACACACCATATCAATGTACTCATTTTCTATCAGCTGGTCTCACGTTAGATCGATTCGATAATCTTCGTTCTGTAACATTTTACTGTGTTAGTTCAGATCAAAAAATTAATCAATCATTGTTTTTCAATTTATATCGACTACATCATTTAACACATTTGAAATTTGTTGATTGTCGACTTTTTCACATTAACATACAAGGTTTTCAAAATTTCATTAATCAAATTTGGAATCTACCGAAATTGACTCATTTATACTGGGATTGCAGTTTTAAAGCTGATGATCATTTTCGTCTTCCTACGGTCGTCTCAACATCTTTGCAATATTTAACTATTTGTAATGTTGAGTGGTATTCGTATCAATTTATTAATTTCTTAAAAAGGACACCTCAATTACAAAAATTTTCAACATCATTAACTACTGATGAAGAAGATGATCTTCCTCTTGTTCGTAAATTTATACCATCACCGAAGAATCTATCAATTAAAAAACTTGTTCTATCTGAAGTAAGTTCACAACGTCTAATGACTAATCTATTTCAATTAGTACCTAATGTTAATCATTTAAAAGTTGAAATATTTTCTCTCAAAATTGATGGACATCAATGGGAACAAATTATAATTAATTATTTACCTAAACTGAACATTTTACAATTTATGATGAGTTTAACTCTCGGTCGCTCGATTGATGACCAAATGGACGAAGAAAAAGTTGATCAATACCTTGCAACATATCGTACTTCGTTTTGGATCGAACGTTGTCAATGGTTCATCCGATGTCATTGGAGACGATGTAGAGGAATTGTTTGGATTCGCCTTTATTCATTACCTTATGCATTTTATTATTTTCCTATTTTCTATAATGAATTAGATTCGAAAACAAAATCGACTTGTCCAGGTGAAATGTATTTTTCCTATGATTCTGTTCGTAACGTTGCATATAAACCGCCAATCTTCAACAATGAAGCGCTCTACCATGTTCATCTCTTCAATGTCGAAGTATTAACTCTTGAAGTTCCGATAGATCAGCGATTTCTATCAATTGTTCCCAAATTTGAAAACTTGCATTCACTTAATGTAACCATTTCAACAATAATTTGTCGACAGCAATTACAAGCATTGTTTGATAATGCACCTCGTCTATACTCATTGTCATTTGAATCATGGAACACGTCTACAACGCCACCATATCAATATACCAGTGCAACAATTCATCGACTCAATTTACAAGGTTCTGATCAATCTGGTGTTAAACATCGTTATACTCGTAAACAATGTTTAGAATTAAGTCGATCACCATTAGGTATTCAATGTCGAGTACTACTTATTGCAATCGAAGAACCTCAGTGTATTTTGGATTTAATTGATTCTATGATTAATCTTCGAACGTTGCGCGTTTCCTATGAATATGATAAACGTAGTAATAAGTATGATCTTATTCAAGTCTTACAAGCTAGTTTGCCGTCAACATGGACTGTAATTCGATTTTGTTATGGACTTTTGATTATTCAATCATAAATTCTTTTGTATCTAAATTTAGTTGAATAAAATATTAAATAAAATTCGCGCATAGACATATCTATTCATCTTCAAGAAAGAAAAACACTATCTGAGTAAGAGCAGATCAGTAAACATTTTAATTGAGATAGCTAATGAAGTATATTTGATACGATAGAAAACTATTCTTATGTTTATTTGTTTCATAATATAGAACAATTGAACCACTTGTTAAAGATAAAAAGTGTATAGACAAAGAAAAATTTTTTGCTTTTCTTAATGTAAGAATACATTGTGGATGTTACCAAAGACAAAACGGAAATACACTCGCACTCTCTATTTGAAAATAATCTTCAAATATTACGATCACTTTGATTTTCCAAATACAACAGCCTTTATTAATACTTTCGAACTATTTCAAAACTTACAGCACATGATATTCGTATTCATGAGAGTATGAAGTAAAAACGATTTGTCAATAGAAATCCATAATCTAGACAATAAATAGAAGTTATTAAACTAAAAATCAATCGATAAATAATTATTTATGCAGTAAATATTGTTTGTTCAGATATAATTAGGTGAAATAGTAACTGAATTAATTTTCAAAACAAGAAAATACAACACTAAGAAATCACAATACCTTTCTTTTGCTTTAAATTAAATTAAATATCAGTGGGTAACAATAACGCAAATCGAACAGAGAAGCGTGAATGCTAAAAAAAAATAATATAGATTCGTGTATTTCTTTAGATATTAAATCAAAGATATATTTTTATTAAAACATACACATTCTCTAAACATTGTTTTAAAAAAAAGAACAAGAGAGAAATAGGAGAGATATATTGATTTGAAATAAGATCAAAAAGAAAAAAAATTGAGCAGTAGAATAAGAAAACTTGAATATAAGATTAAGATTTTCATCAAAACAATTTTTACGCAAAAAAAGTGAAAAAACTAGTATTTATTTCTGAAATTTACTGAAAATATGCAAGAGTTTATTTAAAGTGATTTTTATTCTTACACATACAGAAGCTGTTGCATACAGAAAATATTAATAACCATTGTTCAAAATAACTTGATTGTGAGTCATCTGGTTTTCATTAAGAGAAATTCACAAGTAATTCAGTTGATTCGAAAAAAATCTGCACTACTTGAAAAAATTGACAGAATTATATGAAAGAATAATATAAATATCATAATAAGGATTGCTCTAATCATTTCTAATTGATCCTCTCATTAATATGTTTGTTTCTGTATTGAGTTCCGATCTGTTTTCTGTCAAATGGAAATTATACGAACAGTAGGCCAGTAGTTCTCTCTCATTTTGTATCATAAATTTTTTTATCTCCTAATTAAGATAATTGAAGAGTTGTCTTCATGGAGAAAAAGTACAGTAAGATACAATCTTCAATATGTTTATAAGTTGATATTTATTAGATGATACTAATATGGAATTATTTTACAATTAGTTAAATGTTGAACAGATCAACTCGATAGAATTGACTTCGTTCACCATGTGATTCTATGTTTTAACAATAGTGTACATAGACAATAAACGTTTCAATTAAAAAACTATTTTTCTTTGACTCTAATCTCTTTTGCAAAAGTACTAATTTTCTGACTAATGCAGTATAATGTTATATTTCAACTACGAATAATTGATTTACTACTAATTGTTCAATGTTTTACTGATTATATTTTCGTGTTTATTTTCATGATTTCCGATGTGTTGAAAGAGGATAATATCAATAAACTTTTCAAACAATAACCTTTGCTATAAAGAATAATTAAAAAGGGTATGGGTATGGGTGTCCGTGAAGAGGATTTCGACAGCCCTACCCACACCCGTATCCTTTCTTCTGATAAAAATTTGGTTATGATATTTCATCATAAAAACCTTTGTTTTCATAGATTTAGTGCATATTCCTTTCTTAAGATGACTTCACAGTATATTGCAATCAAACGTATTTTTCCTTAACTGAAAGATCATTGATTGTAGATTTTTATGTCATACTCTAGTTTATGCCGTTGTGCGAAATTCAATGATCTTTTATCTCTTGTATGAATAATCTTTCAGGCAACGTATTCTTATTCAAAAATTATTTTCATAATCGAAATCGATTTAATGTGTAGCAAAATATAGTTCAAATTTCTGTAATTTTAGTAATATCCTCTGTTTGAATAACCATATCCACCACCATAACCGCCAACACCAGGATAACTTCCGTAGATTTGAACATATGTTGGATTTAAATTTCCACCCATCCTATCATCATAATATTCGCCTGTGTAGCCTATATTAAAAGAAATGGTGAAGATATGTACGGTTTTTTAATTAATTTTTTTCTTATATTTGTCACTACTCATTCGAAAAAAAGTAAATTACTTATTGAGATTGCTGAAAGAAATTCAAACTTTTTATTACAGAAAATAGTATAATCTTTATCAAAAATATTACTTTCAAAATTACTAGTGAACCAATCGAAACTATGTGTGTATGCAGTAATTACCAACAATTAGTCCACAGTTTATTTTGAATTTTTTTTCCATTCTAGTAATCGTAAATAATTTAAATACAGAAAAAGCATACACTGTGAAAATATATAATAAAGCGATTAGCCAATTCTGAAAGGTGAAATTTTCAGCAAACGAAAGTCATTTTTTTCATCATCGAGAAAGAGATATTTTTATTTTTCTTAGACTACGCAATATCATAGAAAAATCGATTTTCTTCAAAATAAGGCGTTTTCGAGTTTTTTCTCTAATATACAGCAATCTGATTGAAAGTTCCAAAGTGAATGTTACATAGAAAATAGTAGAAAAATAGATCCATAGACTTCTCCGAAATCACTGTATGTAAGCAAAAAACGGGCGTAGAAAATTTGACAATGGATGTGGGTGTGGGTGTCATTCTCTTTAACCATACCCACACTCACACTCAGACATTAACAACAGCACCTACACTTAAAACGACAAACTTTCGTTCATATGAATTTAATCCAAGCTCAATTGCTTAAATTATTGCTGCAAAACTAGTGCTTTAACTACGAGTGAGATAGAACGCCTTTTCTCTGATGTAGAAGGCGTACGGAAAAAAATTCTTTGTCTTTTCTTCCATTTGATTTGAATTTTATAAGAGTATGGTCATTAGTGTACTGACGAAAAGAAGACACATCTCAAATCATATTCACCCACGCTCTATATTTTTTTTTTGTTAAAAACTAACCAATACTAAAAGTATTATATACCATTTGATAGCACGAAATCTGTTCTATACAAACCTACATGACGCCAGATTTTTTTCAGATACTGAAGTCAAAAACTGCATTCCTGGATGTCTAAATCAAATGAAACAAACACAACTAGGTTCAAGAAATTTTCAAAAAGAAGGTAGCTACCATGCACTTTGTTAGTCACAGAGTTTCTATAATTTTATACATTTGTATGAATATTTCACTAGTTTTTGCCGAGGTTCATATCATTAAAAATAAAATTCATCATCATATTCACATTTAGCGCAAAAAAAACTGAGTTAAGTAGAGAATCTATCAAAAATTAAAAGTACTCTCACAGGAGACCAGTGGAGTTTCTTATGTAGAGCCATGCATGAAAGTGTAGAGATTCATCCACAATAACCGTTACATTCTTTCAAGGATTATGTTTTTATGATTACTAGTAGACAGTTTTATAGAGCTTTCCAAGGTGCACAAGATACACTTTTCAGCTTACAATTTTGAGTGGTTATGAATATGTCACCCAAAATTAACTTTTCAGCGATATTATGCTATCACATGTGATAACAAACATTCATATTCAGTCGACAAAGAAAAAAGATTGAATTCTTTTCGACAACTTTCACTAGTAGATATAACAATGTCATTAAGGCCAGCGAATATTCACTATTGTTCTCGATAGGTCAAACATTGTATTTGTTCGAGTTTACAATGCAATATTGGTAATGAGAAATAAAGATACCAATTGGGGACATAGATAATTTAAGTTTGATATCATTTCTTAGAAGAAGAGGCTTTCATATTGATAATGAATATGTTTATTAATTTTTCTTTCCGTTGAACACGAATCTATCAATGATCGGTTTTTGCTAAAAAAAATAAACTGCGACGTTTTATTCAATTAGGAAACTGTATACAACTTTGATCGACCACTAGAAGGTATGGACGTATACGTCGCTAAGAAGAAGACCTGTGTCCATTTTAAGCAATGCCAACTTTAGTGGTAGGCAGTTTAAGTTGAATTGAAAGTGTTTGCCTTTCATAAGTCATTTTTGATACAGAAACCAATGCTAGTGATGTAGAGCTCAAGAGAGATGAAAAGAGACATTCACCGATCGCTTCGAGTTTCAATCAGTAAAAATGTCACAACAAGATGCACTACTAAGTATTCAGTTCAAAATGAAACATCGATGAATGCTCTTGTCAATTTAGTGATTGCTATTATGGGTTCCTGTTTAGAGAGAATTGCACAATCAAAATTTTGGATTTGAAAGGACTGTCCAAAATTTATTGTTTAACGTTTTCATTGCTTTGTATTTCATCATTATGTGATTTCAATGTTAAAACTACGTATGAACTTCGAAAACATGAAACAGTTATTGATGCTTGACATAGTAGAGAAGTATCTTCTGACTTATCATGAATGCACATCATTTTTACAAAACTATACTGTTCATTTAATTTTATAAATATTCCTTAGCTATTCAGGCAACATAATATTAGCTTGTTTATTTAGAGAACGCCTAAATTTCAAAAAGAATTAAAAGAGAATACTTCAACGGATTAAAAGTTGAATGATTTGTATCTCAATACATACGACAAGCAATAAAGGAAAAACGGTTTTTCATCATTGTCATCCGAAAAAATCATGATTAAAACTCAATTTCAACGTTTGTACACTTCTCACTATTTCCTCAGGTCATTATCTGTTCGTTGAACTTACTTGAATTAAACAATACTCCTTGAAAGTATAGAAATGACAGAATTTTGTCTTCAATTACAGTT